TTTTTTTTTTATTTTTTTTTTTTTTTTGCGGGGGGGTCTGGAGCCGGGGTTGGGGGTGCCCACCCCCGGAACCCCGGAACCCCGCCGGGGCCCCGGGGCCGGGGCTCGACAACCCTGGCCGACTTAACCAAGTCATATCTCATTAACGGATGAGGCACAAACATCCAAATCCCACTACCATCCGTCTTCCGCTTTTCTAACCGTCCGTCATTCCATCGGTAGTCCGTGCCCTCTCATTGGCCCTCCTCCGGTCCTCCTTAGTGAAGTCTCGGAGGGAGTTCCCAACCACTATAGCGATCAAGACGACATTTGTCCACACTTTGACCCTTCTAAATCATCGGGTTTTTTCCAACCCTTCCTACGTGGCTTCGAGAAATCAAGTTTCTGTCGGAATTTTATCAGTACGGCACAAGGGGCATAACCAGGATTTACCCGCATTTCTATATTGGATGCAGGAACCGTAGGCTCGGGAGACACATTGCTGACAGTCTACCCACTTGACATACCGCTCCCCGCTAGGACGCATAGGGACCGAATAGACCCTCGAGATTGCTTCACAAAAGTAGCAAAATTTGTTGGGCAGGGAAAGGAAAGAGGAAGACGAGAGGGGAGAAAAAGGACCGTCGGGATTACCTCCATGGTCCATCGCCATCGTGTCTGTCGGTCACCTCTTGGAGGTCTGATGGAGGATGACCACCTGGCCGTACGAGGGCTCGCCAGTTGGTTCCAGTTCCTTCCACGGTGTGATCTCTTCACCGTTGGCCACCCTGCTAGGTCGGTACAATCATGTAAGTTCGTTAGCGTTACCGTGCTTCTCTGTCATCCGGTGGATTGTATCGAAATTGTATTCTTGCAGTCGCACAACCCATCGTCCGATCATGCCCCTGTAGTTGGTAAGCCTCTTGAGAGCCAACAGGGGCTCATGGTCTGTAACAAGGAGGAACTTCTGTCCGTATGAATACGGATGGAAGTGTTGAATCCCCCAGACAACGGCGTAGCACTCTCCATGTGGAGTTGAATCCTTTCTTCTCTTGTCCGGTACCGTTCGCAAAGCGTACTCGATGACGTGTTCGCGGTCGTCTTTCCCCTTCTGAGGCAAAATAGCGAAGATTGCTTCGGGCTGCCATTCCATAACAAGTATGAATTGCTTCCTCGGGTCAGGCCGAATCAAAATAGGTGTCGTGGCCAATGCCTCCTTTAAGGTGACAAAGGTCTGTTCACACTTGACGCCCCAACTCAGCGGTTGGTCCTTCCGTAGAAGATTCATTAGAGGTCGGGCAATTGCTGCCAAACCCTTGATAAATCGACGATAGTACGAGGCCAGTCCCAAAAAGGCCCGAACTTGTGTCAACGTCATCGGTGTAGGGGCATCCCGAACGGCCGCGACCTTTCTCAAATCCAGTCGTAAGCCTCCCTGGGTCCCAGGTACCCTAGGAACAAGATTTCCGAAAGGAAAAACTCACTTTTCTCCAACGCAATCCTGAAGCCAGCGTCCTGCAATGCCCCAAGTGTCCATTCGACATGTTGTGCATGCCCGTGGAATGATTCCGATTAGACCAGGATATTGTCCATGTACAGTGTACACAATAACGCAAAAATTAACCATGCCCTGAGTTAGCCTGGTCTTCTTGACGAAATTTGAAATGCGACGTTCATCACTCTTTGAAAAGTAGATGGCGCATTGCAAATTCCCATCGGGCAACGGACCCACTACCACGTGCCCTCAAATAACACAAAGGCCGTCTTTGGCTGATCCTCCTCAAATAAAATTTGTGGCGAATATCAAACTTACTGAAATACTTAGCACACCTAATCACATCCAATAGATCATCAATCCGGGGAAGAGGGTACACATCCTTAATCGTGATATCATTCAGCTTCCGGTAATCAATGCAAATGCGAATCGACCCATTTTTCTTCGGGACTAAGACCACGGGAAACGACCAGGGTCCGGTTGCCGGTTCGATCCATCCGTTAGCCTCAAATTCTTTGATTCTTTGCAATGCCACTTTTCATTCCGCGAGAGAATATTAGTATGGTTTACAATGGATTGGCGAGTATGTTCCGGTCCGAATTTCGTATTGAATGACTAAGGACAATCCGATATCCGTGTTACTCTGATCGCCCCTTGGTATTCAGTCAGAATCTCCGCGATGAATCGATGAGTTTCATTGGGTACAGACTGAGGCACATGTAGCTCGTAGGGCCTTCCATGTATGATAACCGTCACGTGCTTCGTGCCTGCTCTGGGGCTGCTCTCAGCAGGGGGAGCAAAGATGAAGGAGTTGTCCGACCGCCAGGAAAACACGGTGGCGACCATCTGAGCATCTTACTCTCGGACGACCACATGTTCTTTCAGGGTCACGCCATCGCTGATATCCTTCCCGCACACTGGTTTCTCAACGATTTTGATTCCGAGCTCATACGGTGTAGAGCCGCCGCGTCGAGGGGGTTCCAAAGCTTCGCCTTCAGCCCCCTGTCGTAGTAATCGCACCTTCTTTCCAGAAGACAGCAAGGAACGAGGTAGCTCTGTGATGTCACAAAATGCTCCCTTGTCTCTATATCTCGAGAGAAGCGGGGCAGTGGCCTCGTATAGGGTCCGAGGGGGTTCCGAAGAGTCGATCATCTGGGATATTTGTACGAGTGGTTCCCCTAAGATTAACACGCGCGTTCGTTGTAGATTTATTTCCGTAAGGACGAACGTTTTTGTGGTCTTCTGTCGGACGGGTAACGAATCAGCTGTTGAGCCATATCGTGTATCACAGGATCGGCTTCAAGTTCTTCTCCGCTATCAGAGTCACTCGTTAGTTTCAATTCCTTTCCTCTTTGATCCGATTCGTGGATTGGTTCTTTTCAGGTGATCACTCGGAGGGGTCCTCTGATTCCAGGCGAGGGTTTCTGAGTCGAGGACGGTGTGGTCCGAAGAGTCGGCCGCATCGGAACAACGTATGACTTTCCGCCCTAGTTTTTGAGGATGACGGATTGCCTATCGAAATCCAGGTTGGCCCGCAATCAGAGGTGGTCACATCCAGTACTATAACGTCTCCTAGTGCGTAAACTTTTCCTAATCGAAACGCGACATTCGACATTTTTCCTTCCGCTTTGATTTTGTCTTCGTCCGCTGAGACGAGATGATCTCCTTCCATCAGGGTGATCAGATCCTTTCTTCTCCTGCTCGTTCTACGACTCTCAATGAAATACCCATTCCTGCGGCTCCTGAATCGATAATAGCGTTGTAGGGGGTTCCCCATACCTTGATATCGCATTCCGCTGATTTCCATGGAATGGCTTTAATTTGCAAAAAATGATCATCTTTTGAAGTATACTCAACCGTATTGGGTCCGAAGTACTAGGAACGTCCAGCTCGTCTTCGAGGGCTGGGGCTTTTCCTTTCTAAGCCGCCGATTTGCCGAGAGCAAATCGTTTTCTGTTTGTTTTGCAATGCTGTAGCATGCGCTCATTGGCTTGCTCGGATATGGACAACAGATGTCCGATAGGCAAAGGAATTCGGTGATCGAGAGCTCGGACGATGTCCAATACGTCGATCTCTCTACTAACGAAGGTAAGACCGCCCGACTCCATTTCTCTTGGAGAAGGTTTCCATTCGGCCATCTCACGTTGTTCATTGGCGGGTCGGATGGTTCCGATCATTCCCAATCCTGGGTAACCAAATGCCACGTATTGGTCGAGCGGGATAAGTTCCACAGCTTCTTAAGTGGTGGCTACCGCACTCCCTGAGTCCCTGCTCCTTCCATTTCTTCAATCATCGCGCCTACCCTCCTTGACCCATTGGCCATGGGCGCAGCGGCCACGGGGGCGGTTCCAACTCGAGCTTGTGCAGGTCGGAGCGGACAATCTCGGGCTATGTGGCCCGACTAGTGACACGTATAACATGGTCTGGGCGGGGGCAATTCCTGGCGCCCCTGGTGCGGCTCTGACGGCAATGGGGTACATCGACCTCATTAACGATTCTATCCGGGGCATTGTGCTCACGTTGTTCCTTCTTACTTTAGTGCATCAAGTTAACTAATATTCAGGTTAGTTTAAGTATGGCACTCGATTCATTGGGCCTTGCTTAGGAGTCTGGGGAAGGAACAGAGGCGGCCATAACCAATGCAGGCAATCCTGTAGCTGTATCCGGTACTGGCCTCTTAGCTGCGATTTGTTCTAGATAGGTGACAGGGCCAGAGACGAAGCCCATGTTTTCGAATTTGTTTTGAAGTGCAGCTAGGTCAACCTTTGCTCTGGTCAGTTCTGAGGAATCCCCTTCCCTGGGGTAATCTTCTCCTTCTAGGAAACTGGCGGCAAATTTTCGTTCCATCTCTTTCGCCGCGGTCATGATCTGTTGCAGGGTATGATGATCGGGGAGAATTGCTTTCGCAGTTTCGCCGTCATTGTCCTGCTACGGAGCCCGTCGATGAATAAATCTCTCCCGACCTCTTCCCCTCTCTGTGTTTTGACGAACATCCTATAAAACCTATTACGATATTCAATAACGGATTCGAGTGGTTTCTGAACCCAATCTTTGACCATAAAAAATGCCTGCTCCAGATGGATATAGTCGAATCGGTTTAAAAAATCCCGCTCGAAGGTCGGGAGATCCACCCAGACGTAAGTGTTGAACCATTGGTGCGCATCTCCTCCTAGCCTGGCGGGGATGTTGACTTGAGCCTCATCATTGTCGTATTGCTGCAAACGCAATGTGGTCAGCCATGCCCCGACTAGGTGATGTGCGGGGTCAGAAAGATACAATTCAGGTCGAGCCACTAGTGTGCGAGCTCAGATTGGTGGCGCGAGAATAGGTACCCCACCTAGCTATACATTAGCGTTTTGCACTGCATTGGTATTCATGTTGGCGGCCAGCCGACCCGCCAACCTACTCCGGGTCAATATCAGGTCACGTTTGGGCGCATTCCTTTGCCTAGGTCGCCCTCGGTTCGCCAGGTCGCTTAACTAGGGGGCCTATCCGCTTGTCACCCCGCGAGCTTGCCACGTGTCGGTTTCGATACCAACCTCACGCCCAGTGCGACTTCCTGATTGGAGTGGGATGGGGGCCCGAAAGTGCGAAAAAGGGATGTGCCAAGGATTTTAGGATAGTTGGGTTGGACTCGGGGAGTTTCAGGTTAGAACTGAAATCTTCGGTGGCAAGCCTTAAGGGCAATTATGCAAGATAGTAAGCGTGAACCACGTTCGACTTTTATGCCTTGGGGGATGTCATCGCCATCCCTGCGAGCTTCGTTGTCGAGGCCGGACTTGGATTTGGTGAACCGGTGGAATGCTAGGTGTGTCGCGTTGCCTAACCAATCGCCAGTGTCAGTCGTGATAAGCCTCCGAGTCACGCGAAGTGGGCCTCAGGCGTAGGCTATGTGCTCATTGTTAGGCCTCAGTCCGGGTTCGTCGAACAAACCCCACGGCTCGGTACTCACAGTCCTGCTGGCACTCAAAGCACGGGGTTCGAGGCTAGTAGGGGGCGAGTGCGTACCACGGGGCCGCCATCAGGCAGTGTAAAGGCAACACGAGGCGGTAGGGAGCGAAGTCTGTCTCAATGATGACGACAGCGTGTTCGACGATGACGGGTCTTACGTGTGAGCTGGGGAACTGGGAGGGAAAAGGGATCGCGCTTAGGGCCCGTTCGATATCCCACTCTCAGACACGTTCGTTTCCCGTCCGAAAGGGGAATTTTGGAGGGTTGGGGCGGGGTTGTGCGAAAAGACAAACGTTTTTCCACTCCCAGTATTCTCGGAACCGCCGGTGTCTCCGGCTCTTCCGATCTGTGACGTGGAAGGGAGTCCCATCATCCATGCTATCGGAATTTGGCGAGTTTAGACATGGACTCGAGTGAGGGTCTTGTAGACGCGCGTGCAAGCGATGTTCGTTTTGATCGAGTCTGCACGTATGCGCACGAGACCACGTTTACGATCAGTTGGATCGGATCGACCGACTATCCCTTTGGTTGGAAGACCGTTTGATCCGTCGTCATGCTAGCCCGTGCGCGCGTCAAGAAACAGGCATTAGGAAGGCAATCCGTTGGCAATCACACATTTGAATCAACCATCCACTTATCCACCAGAGCATACACCAGCCGGGTCCGCCGAGTGTTTGTTAGATTCTTCTTTCGATCCAAAAGGGAACGGGAAACTAACATGCGTACTCAGGCATCGATCGACCTCATGCATCAACCAAACTCGAGGGTCGTGCGAGTCTCTGGAAAAGCATAGCGAGAGATCGACAAAGGTTTGTGCATCAAGCCACGTGACCAAGGAAGCTCATATCATCATAACCAAGCTCACCGAGATCATGCGCAAACAATCGACGTGCCCGATCTCACCATACTGCAATGAAACAGGAGTGATGGGGGAAAATCAAACCGATTACAAAAAAAAAAAAACAAAAAAAAAAACACGAACCAGGGGTAGTCATGAGTAAAAAAGGACCGACGCCACTTATCCAAACTACATAAGTAAGAAAAAAAAGGACACCATCCCACACACAAGATCTGAAGGTTGGCAATTCCGTAATATGCATGAGGAGCGCATCCAACCCAAGCGCAGAATGGGGACTAGGACGAAATTTGAGTTAAACTAGTTATCCAAAGATTGCGCGAGGAGGGGTGAGGGAAGCGTGTGAGTTCATTCCATACACACCATAAGCAAAAAAATCCAAAATGATTCGCAAGGAGATCAAAACGACCGTAACAAGATCGGCCAAAATCAAAATTTGCACAGAGGGTTAGAGAAAGGCATCATCCCACACACACATCTCTCTCTCTCTCTCTCTCTTTCTCTCCATGCTACATGACCTCCAATGCGGGCTCTCTCTCTCTCTCTCTCTCTCTCTCTCTCTCTCTCTCTCTCTCTCTCTCT